GGTGGTGTGTGTGTGAGTGTGTGTTGTGTGTAGTGTGTGTAAGTGTGTGGTGTGTGTGGTGTGTGTGTGTGTTTTGTGTGGGTAGTTGTGTGTTGTGGTGTGTGTGTGTGTGTGTGTGTGTAGTGTGTGTGTTTTGTGTGTGTGTGTGTGTGTAGTGTGTGTGTGTGTGTGTGTGTGTGTGTTGTGTAGTGTGTGTGTGGTGTGTGTGTGTGTGTGTGTGTGTGTGTGTGTGTGTGTATGGTGTGTGTGTGTAGTGTGTGTGTGTGTAGTGTGTGTGTGTAGTGTGTGTGTGTTTTAGAGTGTGTGGTGTGGTGTTAGAGTGTGTGTGTGTAGTAGAGTGTGTTGGTATGAGTGTGTAGTGTGTGTGTGTAGTGGTGTAGAGTGTGTGTGTGTAGAGTGTGTGTAGGTGTGTGTGTGGTTAAGTGTGTGTGTGTTGTGTGTGTGGTGTGTGTGTGTAGAGTGTGTGTGTGTAGAGTGTGTGTGTGTAGAGTGTGTGTGTTTTGGGTGTGTAGGTGGTGTGTGTGTGGTGTGTGTGTGTGTAGAGTGTGTGTGTGTGAGTGTGTGGGGTGTGTGTGTGTAGAGTGTGTGTTGTAGAGTGTGTGTGTGTGAGTGTGTGTGTGTGTGTGTAGAGTGTGGTGTAGAGTGTGTGTGTGTAGAGTGTGTTGTGGTGTGAGTGTGTGGTGTGTGTAGTGTGGGGTGTGTGTGTGTGTTGTTAGAGTGTGTGTGTGTAGAGTGTGTGTGTGTAGAGTGTGTGTGTGTGTGTAGATGTGTGTAGAGTGTGTGTGTGTAGAGTGTGTGATTGTGTGTGTGTATGTAGTGTGTGTGTGAGTGTGGGTGTGTGTGTAGTGTGTGTGTAGTAGTGTGTTGTTTTGTAGAGTGTTGTAGTGTGTGTGGTGTGATGTGTTGGTGGGGGTGTGTGTAGAGTGTGTGTAGTGTGTGTGTGTGTAAGTGTGTTGTGTGTGTGAGTAGTGTGTGGTGTGTAGAGGTTGTGTAGTGTTGGTGTGTAGAGTGTGTGTGTAGTGTGTGTAGAGTGTGTGTGTGTAGAGTGTGTAGAGTGTGTGTGTGTAGAGTGTGTGTGTGTAGAGTGTGTGTGTAGTGTGTGTAAGTGTGTGTGTGTGTAGAGTGTGTGTGTGTGTGTGAGTGTGTGGTTGTGTGTTGTGTGGTGAGTGTGTGTGTGTAGAGGTGTGTGTGTGTGTGTAGGTGGTGTGTGTGTGGATGTGTAGTGTGTGTAGTAGAGTGTGTGTGAGTGTGTGTGTGTGAGTTGTGTGGTAGGTGTGTAGTGTTGTAGAGTGTGGTGTGTAGAGTGTGTGGTGTGTAGTGTGTGTGTTGTGTGTGTGAGTCGTGTGTAGGTTGTGTGTGTGTAGAGTGTGTAGAGTGTGTAGTGTGTGTGTGTAGAGTGTGTTGTAGTTGTGTGTTGAGGTGTGTAGAGTGTGTGTGTTTTAGAGTGTGTAGAGTGTTGTGTGTAGGTGTGTGTGTGTAGGTTTTGGTGTAGAGATTTGTGTATGAGTGTGTGTGTGTAGAGTAGTATGATGTGTGTAGTGTTTTTAGTGTGTATGTGTGAGTTGTGTGTGTTAGTATAGTTGGTGTATGTTAGTGAGTGTGTGTAGAGTGTGTTGTGTAGTATTAGTGTTTTAGTGTTTAGAGTGTTGTTGTAGAGTGTGAGTGTGTTAGAGTGTGTGAGTGGTTTGATGTGGTGTGTAGAGTGTGTTGTTAAGTGTGTGTTTGTTGTAGAGTGTGTAGAGTTGTTGTGTAGATTGAGTGTTGTAGTGTGTTTGTAAGTGGTTTGTAGTGTTGGTAGAGTGTGTAGTGATATGTTAAGTGTGAGTTTGTTAGTTAGTTGTGTAGTGTATTTAGTGTGTGTTGATTGTAAGTGTGGTGTAGTTTAGTGTGTGTGGTGATTTTGTGTGTAGAGCTATGTTTAGATGTGTGTATGTAGTGTGTATGATTATTTGTTTGTAGAGTGGTGTGTAGTTGTGTTTGTAGATGTGTGTGTGTGGGTTAGATTTAGGTGGTGTGTAGGTGTGTGTGTTAGAGTGTATAGTGTAGGGTGGTGTGGTATGTGTGTGTAGGTGTGTGTTGTGATTAGTGATGAGTGTTTTGATGTGTAGTTTGTGTAGATGTGTAAGTGTGTTGTTAGGTTGTAGAGTTGTATTGAAGTAGTTATTGGTAGATGTTGTAGATGATGTTAGTGTGTAGAGTGGTTGTGTAGTTAGTAGTGTGTAGAGTGTTTGTTGTGTTGTAGAGTGTGTAGTAGTGTTCTATAGTGTGGTGATGTGTTTGTAGAGTTGTGTGTGTAGAGTGTATTAGTTATGTGTGTTAGTGTAGAGTGTGTGTGTGTAGAGTTTTAGTAGTGTGTATGTAGAGTGTTAGAGTGTGTGTGTAGAGATGTTGTGTGTAGTTGTTGGGTGTGTCTGTGTAATGTGTGTAAGTATGTGTGTGTTAGAGTGTAGTGTGTGTGTTTGAGTTGTGTGAGGTGTGTAGGTGTGTGGTAGAGTTGTAGTGTGTGTGTGTAGATTTGTTGTGTTGTTATGTTTTGTAGAGTGTGTTTGTAGATAGTAGTGTGTGTGTGTGTAGATGTGTAGTGAGAGTGTGTCGTGTGTGGTATTTTTATAGTGTTAGAGTGTGTAGTGAGGGTGTGTAGAGTGTGATGAGTTGTGTGTGTAGAGTGTGTAAGTTGTGTGTTTGAGTGTGTGTATGGTTTAGTGTGTATAGTTGTAGTTGGTGTTAGAGTGATGTTATAGTAGTGTGTGTGTGTGTTAGAGTGTGTAGAGTGTGTGTGGTGAGTGTGGTAGAGTTGTAGAGTGGTGTGTGTAAGTTATGTGTGTGTAGAGTGTGTGATGGTGTGTGTAGTGTAGTGTTGTGTGGTGTGTTGATGTAGTGTAGAGTGTGTAATTTGTGTGTGTAGTATGTGTTGTAGGTGGAGTGTGTGTTGTAAGTGTGTGTAGAGTTGTGTTGTAGAGTGTGTGTAGGTGTGTGTTTGTATGTGTTGTGTTGATGAGTTGTGTTGTAGAGTGTGTAGAGTGTTGTGTTAGATGTGTGTTGTAGATGTGTAGAGTATGTAGTGTGTAACTGATTGTAGTGTGTTTTGTGTAGAGTGGTATGATGTGATGTGTAGTGTGTGTGTGTAGGTGTGTAGAGTGTTGTGTGTAGAGTGTGTAGTGTGTGTGTGTGTAGTTGAGTGTTAGAGGTGTAGTGTGTATGTGTTAGTGTGTAGTAGTGTGTTAGTGTGTTAGAGTGTGTCTGTTAGAGTGTGGAGTGTGTGTATGATGTGTGTGTGTAAGTGTATAGTTGTAATGTGTAGATGTGGTGTGTAGAGTGTGTTTAGTGTTAAGTGTGTTTGTTAGAGGTGTTAGTGTTAGTATTGGTGTGTAGTGTTAGAGTGGTGTTGTAGTGTGTAGTGATTTAGGGTGTGTGAGTGTGTTAGATGTTGTAGAGGTGATGTGTGTAGATGTGTAGATGTAGTGTGTGTGTAGAGTGTTAGAGTTTGTGTGTTATAGTGTAGGGTTAGTAGTGTGTGTGTATTGTAGAGTGTGTTAGAGTGTTGTGTGTAGTGTGTAGAGTGTGTGTGTGAGTACAGTGTGTTGTTATGTTAGTGTGTTATTTGAAGTGATGTGGTGTGGTAGAGTGTGTTAGTGTGTAAGTTGTAGAGTGTGTGTTGTAGAGTTGTGTTAGATGTGTGTGTTGATGTGTAGAGTGTGTTGTGTTAGAGTGTGTAGAGTGTTGTGTGTTGTGTGTGTAGAGTGTGTGTGTTGAGTGTGTTAGAGTGTGTGTGAGTTGTGTGTGAATGTGTGTTAAGTGTGAATTATTGTGTAGTGTAAGTGTGTTGTTAGAGGTAAGTGTGTGTGTGTAGTTAGTGTGTGTGTGTAGTGTAGTTGTGATTGATTATGTGTGTTATTAGAGTTTTAGAGTGTGTGATTTGTTGTAGAGTGTGTAGAGTGTGTGTGTTAGAGTGTTAGAGTTGTGTGTGTATTAGGGGAGTAGTGTGTAGTGTAGTGTGTGTATGTGTAGTAGTGGTGTGTTAGAGTGTTTTTAGGTGGGGTATGTGTGTGTAGTGTATGTAGAGTGTGTATAGTTAGTGTTTGTAGAGTGTTTGTGTGTAGAGTAGATCTGTTGTAGAGTTGTGTAAAGTGTGTAGGTGTGTGGTTATGGATGTTAGGGTGTGAGGTGTGTGTGTGTAGAGTTAGTGTGTGGAGTGTTATTGTGTTGTAGAGGTGTATGTATGTAGTGTGTGTTAGTGTTGAGTTGTTTGTAAGTATTAGAGTTTGTGTGTTAGATGTGTAGTGTTAGTTAGTGTTTAGTGTGTGTAGATGTGTAGTTGTATAGTTAGATGTTATGTTGTATTGTGTAGAGTTGATGGTGTGTTAGGAGTTTGATTAGATGTTGTGTAGTGTAGTTGGGGTATATGAGTGTGTGTGTATAGGTTGTAGTTGTGTGTAGTGTTAGTCGTTGTGTTAGTGAATGTGGTAGTGTAGAGTGTGTGTGTAGTTGTGTGTGTGTTAAGGGTGTTGATGTGTGTGTTAGAGTGTTAGAGTTTGTTGTAGATGTGGTGTTAAGGTGAGTGTGTGTGTGTAGTGTGTTGTGTAGTGTGTGTTGTAGTGTAAGTTGTGTGTAGGGTGAGTTTTAGTGTTGGGTGGAGAGTGTGTGTGATGATGTGTGTTGTGATTTTAGGTGTGTGTGTTGTGTAGTGGTTGTGATAGTTGTGTTCGTGTTGTGTGTTGTGTTGTGTGTTGTGTGTAAATGTAGATAAGAGAAGTGTTGTGTGTGTGAGTGTACTCCTACCTAATTGTGGTTGCAGGGGTCGAGACTCAGCTCCTGGCCCTGCAACTCACCTCCTGGCTGTGTGTGTGTGATGTATGCATAATGATAATAAATTAAAATTACTTTCCTATTTAATACTCTTATCTTTTTTTTTTTTTTTTGAGATTAAATGAAGAGACAGGAGGAGGAGGGTGATGACTCCAAAATTCTGTGCCAACTGAGGAAGGTGAATGAACACATACCCTGTTGCCTATGTTCCCTGATGTTAGGCCATAACCCTACAACAGAAACACACATTTAGTCAGTCACAGGGAGTCCAAGATATTGTTCCTCTAAGGTTTCTTCTCTTGTTCCTCTTGACACTACCTGAAGGCTGAGGCTAATCAATAATAATAGCACATTACCCAGGAACCCCCATTTTATATTTTGCAAACTAATGCGTTTGAGGAGGAATCGTGGGCAACTCTAATGCCCAGATAGACTGGTGGTGTAAACACAAACATGTGTACAGTATTGTATATTACATTCAACTAAAAGAGCCACACATATACGTATGGATCAATTAGCAATATTACTCCTAAACATAAAAAAAGTCTAAATATCATGTATCACAATTATCCAAATCTACAAAATAAAACGGTAAGTCATGAATATGCACCCATAAAGCCAACATCGATGCATTGCCTATTAAATATATCACATTATTGACAAAAGAAATTACAATCATACATAGTATCTTATATATTGTACACAGTGTGAATGTGTGTATATATGTAAGTGTGTATGTGTGTTTATTATATAAATAAATAAATGCAAAACAACATCCACACACATTCAGACTTCCCATTTTGACAATTTTCTTCTTATTCTTTTTAGTAATCTTTACAGGAAAAGGGGTTACTAGCCCATTGTTCCCGGCATTTTAGTTGACTTTTACAACACGCATGGCTTACGGAGGAAAGATTCTTATTCCACTTCCCCATGGATATAAAAGGAAAAGTAATAAGACCAAGAACTATTAAGATAAAATCAAAGAAAACTCAGATGAGTGTGTATAAGTAAACATGTACATGTATGTGTAGTGTGACCTAAGTGTAAGTAGAAGTAGAAAGACGTACCTGTAATCTTGCATATTTATGAGACAGACAAAAGACACCAGCAATCCTACCATCATGTAAAACAATTACAGGCTTTCATTTTACACTCACTTGGCAGGACGGTAGTACCTCCCTGGGTGGTTGCTGTCTACCAACCTATTACATATATGGATTTAGAAAAGGCATATGATAGAGTGGATAGGGGAGCAATATGGCAGATGTTGCAAGTATATATGGAATAGGTGGCAAGTTACTAAATGCTGTAAAGAGTTTTTATGAGGATAGCGAGGCTCAGGTTAGGGTGTGTAGAAGAGAGGGAGACTACTTCCCGGTAAAAGTAGGTCTTAGACAGGGATGTGTAATGTCACCATGGTTGTTTAATATATTTATAGATGGGGTTGTAAAAGAAGTAAATGCTAGGGTGTTCGGGAGGAGGGTGGGATTAACTTATGGGGAATCAAATACAAAATGGGAATTGACACAGTTACTTTTTGCTGGTGATACTGTGCTTATGGGAGATTCTAAAGAAAAATTGCAAAGGTTAGTGGATGAGTTTGGGAGTGTGTGTAAAGGTAGGAAGTTGAAAGTGAACATAGAAAAGAGTAAGGTGATGAGGGTATCAAATGATTTAAATAAAGAAAAATTGGATATCAAATTGGGGAGGAGGAGTATGGAAGAAGTGAATGTTTTCAGTTACTTGGGAGTTGACGTGTCGGTGGATGGATTTATGAAGGATGAGGTTAATCATAGAATTGATGAGGGAAAAAAAGGTGAGTGGTGCGTTGAGGTATATGTGGAGTCAAAAAACGTTATCTATGGGGGCAAAGAAGGGAATGTATGAAAGTATAGTAGTACCAACGCTCTCATATGGGTGTGAAGCTTGGGTTGTGAATGCAGCAGCAAGGAGGCGGTTGGAGGCAGTGGAGATGTCCTGTCTAAGGGCAATGTGTGGTGTAAATATTATGCAGAAAATTCGGAGTGTGGAAATTAGGAGAAGGTGTGGAGTTAATAAAAGTATTAGTCAGAAGGCTGAAGAGGGGTTGTTGAGGTGGTTTGGTCATTTAGGGAGAATAGATCAAAGTAGAATGACATGGAAAGCATTTAAATCTGTAGGAGAAGGAAGGCGGGGTAGGGGTTGTCCTCGAAAAGGTTGGAAGGAAGGGAGAAGGGAGGTTTTGTGGGTGAGGGGCTTGGACTTCCAGCAGGCGTGCACGAGCGTGTTCGATAGGAGTGAATGGAGACGAATGGTATTTGGGACCTGACGATCTGTTGGAGTGTGAGCAGGGTAATATTTAGTGAAGGGATTCAGGGAAACCAGTTATTTTTATATAGCCGGACTTGAGTCCTGGAAATGGAAAGTACAATGCCTGCACTCTAAAGGAGGGGTTCGGGATATTAGCAGTTTGGAGGGATATGTTGTGTATCTTCATACGTACATGCTTCTAAACTGTTGTGTTCTGGGCACCTCTGCAAAAACAGTGACTATGTGTGAGTGAGGTGAAAATGTTGAATGATGATGAAAGTATTTTCTTTTTGAGGATTTTCTTTCTTTTTGGGTCACCCTGCCTCAGTGGGAGATGGCCGACTTGTTGAAAAAAAAAAAAATGCAAAACACCCACAGGGAAGCTGAATGATAGTGCTAGGCCTTTCATATTTCAATCAATACATCAAGAACTTGAAATATGCTAAAATGAGTAGGAAGTCCAAGCAGATTCCCATGAATGAATCTGTTTGGACTTCCTTCTCATTTCTGCAACACTGAAGGCTCCTGATGATGTGTTGATTGCAGCATGAAAGGCCTACAGCTATCATTCATTGTTTTGCATCTTTACTTGCTTGTTTGCAATTATTACATACATATAAACAAACATATGCACACACTACTAATGGACTCATTACTCACAATAAGCACAGAATTACTCATACAATATGCACACAATTCAGCAGGAACATACACTCAGAGCATGTAACATGCGCTGGTCCAGGGGTTCCAATGATTTTTGAAAAGACAGTCCTAGAGAGAGAGAGAGAGAGAGAGAGAGAGAGAGAGAGAGAGAGAGAGAGAGGGAGAGGGAGAGAGGAGAAGAGGAGAGAGAGAGAGAGAGAGAGAGAGAGAGAGAGAGAGGGAGAGAGAGGAGAGAGAGAGAAGAGAGAGAGGAAGAGAGAGAGAGGAAAGAGGAGGAGAGAGAGGAGAGAAGAGAGAGAGAAGGAGAGAGAAAGAGAGAGGAGAAAGAGAGAGAAGAAGAGAGAGGAAAGAGAGAGAGAGAGAAAGAGAGAGAGAAAGAGAGAAGAGAAAGAGAGAGAGAGAGAAAGAGAGAGAGAAGAGAGAAAAGAGAGAAGAGAGAGGAGAGAGGAGGAAGAGAGAGAAAGAGAGAAGAGAAAGAGAGAGAAGAGAGAAAGAGAGAAAGAGAGAAAGAGAGAAAGAGAGAGAAATAGAGAGAGAAGATTCTTTGATGACTATGCTCCAACAATCATAATATCCAAAGAAAATCTATGGTACATATACATGCATATTCACGAATGATAGAAAAAATAATACAGAAGAATCTCTCTTAAATGACTGCAATGGAAATATTTTAACAAAAAATGAAAGTTGAAAATTACAAAAGTACTAAAATTAAGAAAAAATCATAAATACGTATATGCAATGGATAATATGAAGGAAAAACCTGAAATTATCAATAATTTAACCCTTTGACTGTCGAAGGGCCCAATCCTAAAGTTGCTCCTGGTGTCGCAAAATATTCGAAAAAAAAAAAATTATTTTTTCTTATGAAATGATAGAGAATCTTTTCCCGATTGTAAAGACACCAAAAAAACGAAATTTGATGGAAAACTGACGGAATTACGCTCTCGCGAAGTTAGCGACTTCGGCGATATTTAAAAATCGGCAATTTCGCCCACTTTGAGCCCTATTTTCGGCTAATTCCGTTATTCCAGTCAACCAAACTCATAACTATTTCTTCAGAACTCTATTTTTTCTATCGATTGAGCACAAGAAACTGCCCATTTACCGATTTCAACTGCCCAATAACATGGTCAGAAATTTGCAATTTGGCCAATTTCACGAAAATTAAAAAATACGACAATTTCAAAATAAGGTCCAGAATGAACAATGCAGACATTATGGCTCTAAAATAAGATTTTCTTTGTTCATCAGTCATGTCTCCAGGTCCCTGTGATATTACTCTTGCTTTTTATTTTGAAATTTTATTCAAACAAAAAATAGAAGATTTACTGTTATGCAGACTACTGCAATACTGTAATAATTGTAAAAATTACATCAACCCATTCATGACTGCGTATTAGAATGGCTATTTGGACATTTATTGGACAATGACATCATTTGTTTACTTTTGAACATCGGCAAAAATCAAACATTTCCTGTACTTTGTGCTCCATTTCCAGGTTCTTTTTATAGTAAAATTAATCAAAATCACCTCCATTTCTATAATATAGTTTCCATTCTATCAAATGAGACCATGAAAACGAGAATACAACCACAAATACTATACGAAAATAGACCACAAAGTCGGCATTTTAATTAAAAAAAACGGTCGGAGTTTTTTTTTTCTCATTATGCACTGCGTGCTCCAGGATTTTTTTTATGTGGTGCACACTGACCACACAGACCCATTCTCTCACATGTGGGCCTACTAGCTTTCTCCTGCCTGATTTGAAGCCGCTAGAATTTATGAGTATATATACGTCAAACACGGTACCTCACAAACGTATATATACGGCCGCGACAGTCAAAGGGTTAAACAAATACAGGTCTGCAGTCAACAAACAGCAACAGCCTGGTTGACCAAGCAGTCACCAAGGAAGCCGGCCTCAGAGAGAAGAACCATTCTCAAAATCAGTCATAGTTATATGTCCAAATGATTAAATAGATACCAGTTTTTTTTAGTGTATTATCACACCATGTTAATGTTAAAGTATTATTTTTATTAACCCTTTGAGGGTCGGTCACATACAAGTACATCATTGCAGCCTGGGTTGGTCACGTATTTGTATGCCTAAATTCTAGCGCCTTCAAATCTGGTGGAAGAAAGCTGGCAGGCCTACATATGAAAGAATGGGCCTGTGTGGTCAGTGTGTGCAGTATAAAAGAAAACCCTGAAGCATGCTGTGCATAATGAGAAAAAAAACTTCGACTGCGTTTTTGGTTTAAAACAGCGACTTTCTAGTGTATTTTCA